AACGTTTGTATTTTCCATAACAATACATCCTAATTTATTAATATTAATTGATCGCATTTTGTATTATAAAACAGAATCTGCAAATGTTTTTGTCTCAAATGGTTTGGGCCAAAACACATTTTTAATCTTTCTGCTTTCTTTCCCCAGAGACAAAACTAAACATGATGAAGCAGCATTCAGTTTTTATTTATCATAAGGAACATTGTCCGCTGCCAATCTCTGTTCTTTTAAATCAAGGCCGAACAGTTCTCTGTTTGCCTCAGCCCTTTACTAAATCAATAGTACTTAGTTTCTTCTTCTTGCACTTACTGCACATTCACTGCCTTTTAATGTATTGTAGCCTTTTTAGCTTTGATCTCTTAAATTACTGTTTTAAATGTTATCTAAATGTGTCTTTGTGGTGTGTTATATACAAAGACTTGCCATATGCTTCTTGAGTTTAAGAGCTGTGTTTTATTTCCTCTCCATTTAGTTATTAGCATTTAATTATAATTGAATCTGTCTTCAATGAGTTGGATGTGTATAGTTTTTGTAAAATGTGACCGCAGAGGCAGGAAATAGTGATAAAGTGCATAGAAAGGCCTATGTGTGAGAAGGCAGATTTGATATGCTATAGATGGCTTTACTTATTGGCTGCTCTCCATCTTGAATGATTTTGTCAGTGGGTGTTCAAACAAAACGCAATTTGCTGACTTTTACGAGAAGGTTTGGTCTGTTACATATTTACAGTGAGTTTAATGATTAATTTTTCTCTCCCCCACGCAGTCTTAAGCCGCTCTCATTCAGGAGTCTGCCATACTCAGGGACCAACTTCTGCCTCAGCCTGCTCACTTCTGTCTCTCCTCTTCACCCACTACCTGTTTTTACCCTATACCGTTTCTGTCTTGCTTTTCCTCACACTTTCACCTGATGTTTTTCATTCTTATTTCCCTTTTTCTGACTTCCTATTTATAATTAATGACTGAAATGAGCCTTACTTGGTGAGTATGAACCTTTTTTGTACATTTAAATGTGGCTAATCAACTGAGAATTGGAAATCAAAGAAACCTTTCAATTTATTCACTTTACATTTTATTGATGGGGCATATATACCACAGTTGTAATGTGTGTTTACAGCAAGAAAATTGTGTAATTTTGTATTGAATATTATCTGTGCATCCACTCCTGAAACCTAAGCATTACTTTCTTCTGCTTAGTAACATTTCAATCACAGATCATCCTTTAAGCAACATTTCTGTCTCATTTGAAGGGAAGTAAGTGGTTATGAAGACAGATGCAAAATGGTTATCAAGGGAATTTTATGAATGAGTGAAAAATTGATGAAACTGCAAATGCTTTCCTGATATATTAGTTGCCAGGCAACGTGCATAGTTGGTTTAATTGATATATATATATATATATATATATTCATAAACAATTATAACTGTTTTCCACAGGAATCCTAAAATGGATATAATATGATCTGTTCAGGATATAGGAGGTTATCTCGATAGATTTGACCTGAAATATACTCTTGTCTAAAGAGTACCAGTGAAGGTGTCTATTTTAGTGTTGAGGTCAACCATGCATCTCAAAAGTCTTTCTTAAAAATGTTATATTTATTCTCAAATATGATTTTCTGTCACAAAACTGACCAGATGATACGTTTTTTGCAGACTTTATGATTAACACATTCATTCTTATTTTAGCGCTGAGATTCACAATACTGATTCTCCACTTTCACGGTGTAATTATATGGTAAAAATATATATCTGGGTGGGCAAAGTCCAAGGAGACAACAGGAGTGAAGGTCTCTTCAGTCTACCCTTAAATTGCTTTATGGCCATGTTTTTCAAGGAAGGAGAGGTTTAAGGGTCAAAGCTCAGCCTGGATAAAGTAGGGGGGATTATGGGATGGGATGAGGTTTACACAAGTAAAAGATGCACACTCATGTTTATTACTTATGTTAGAAGCCATATCAAAGCCTGTGTGTAAAATATTAATTTTGATGGTCTAAAGGCCAAGATATATTTGCAGGAAAAGCACTTCCTCCTGACTCCTATCTCACTTTCATTGAGTGACTGACCCTGATTTTATTGGTGTCATAAGGGTAACATGTTTCAAAGAAGCAGTAAAACCCAAGATCAGAAGATGTAAGACTATGTTGGATTATATTTTACAAACCTTTTTATTAGGTGTGGGTGGAATTATCACAAGGGCTCAGATAAAAATATGCAGTAAAATGATTAGATTTCATGTAGTCGTTGGTGCCCGACCAAAAGAGGGCAGCATTATTTCACATGTCAAACTTTATCACACAGGAGCCATGGAGTTCAAATTTGTAGTATTGTCAAGTTCTTAACTTTGCAACGTTATTGGGATCTGGCAGGTTTAAGGTATTGGGACAATTATACTTTATAACACACACACAACAAAGAGGGGCATGTTCAATAGTTGTTTTTGTTGTTGGGGAGTGGCTTTTTATAAGATAAGCTTTATTATCTGTCACAAAGAAAAAAATCTCCTTTGACATGACTCAACATCGAACAAACAATTAACATTTAAAACACAGTTAAAAAACATATATCAAATGAGAACAAACACTAATAAAACTTAAATTGACAAGAACAATACAATCAATAAATTACAATACATTTTTAATTTTCCATACATTTTTCTTTTTTTACAAAACAGAACATTTCCTGACCTAGGACCTCAAAAGAAAGAAAGAGACGTTTACAAAAGCAGGGCATTTGCAGCAGAGCAAGGTCAGTTACTGTGCACATAAAGATAACAAAAGCATTTTCAGTGATACTTTGTTCTAATAACACCGTTTTGTTATAACAACCCATCCCACTAGGAACAGTGAAACACAAGTCCATCTTTGTCTAAAAGGGTCCATTTCACTTGTGAGTCACAGTCATTTGTTCCATCATGTAAATCTGTTTTAGTGTTTGGACCCACTGAGGTAGGTTGGTGGTTCAATGTATATTTTAATTGTCAAATGAACATAATCACATAAAGGAAAATGTTTTGTTTTTTTAAATCACACCCTATGATATTTCCAAAGACTTGGTGTTACTACCACCTTTTTTCTCATTTTTCTAGAGGAAACTATACAACCAACAATGTAATGAAATAAATACCACCTCCATGTTCTCATGCTCCGTCAGCTGTGCCTTGTCTGTGGGTCTCACCAGCTGTAACAGCATCTCCATATGGAACAACTCTGGCTTCCAGTGGAGCTGCTGTTATCTGTGGTGGGACACCTCTTGTCATCGTAAAAAAGAAGGTGCTGGGACTCGCTTACATATCGGACTCTCTGTAGCTTACACATCTGACTTTCAAAGTCAAAATGGTTTGTGTAAAGGAACACCTTCTTTTTGCTGTTTTTGAATGATGTACCACGTTGATGCTTTTTTTCTATACAGGTTGCTCTTTACAATAAAGCTGATGCCTTACATCCTGTTAAACTGTCTTTCTTTTCTGTTTCTGTGTGCCGTTTGAAAAGATAAAAACATGTGATCATCATGTGTTATCATTGTATACATACGTTGTGTGTGTGAGTGTGTGTGTGTGTGTGTGTGTGTGTGTGTGTGTGTGTGTGTGTGTGTGTGTGTGTGTGTGTGTGTGTGTGTGTGTGTGTGTGTGTGTGTGTGTGTGTGTGTGTGTGTGTTTGTGTGTCTGTGTGTTTGTGAAATTGATATATGAATATAAAAATACATAAACACACAAGGCACTATATCTATAAATCGCAAACATTTCACTCTATTAGCTGCAAAGAACAGCTCAAAGTGTGGTGTTAGAAAGTCGAGCAGAAACTAGTAAGGTTCAAAATTCACATCCCCCAATCCAACAAATCCACTATATTAACTGAAGTGAAAGCAAAACAGAAACAAGTTTAGGCCTCCTTGTGCCACATGTGGTTACTATCAGAAATGACCACGTGAAACCAAAACCACATTTGAATATTTAAACAACATTTCTTGTAGGGTAAAAAGAGGTACTGAATACAATTCACTGACATGAATAGGCTGAAGGTCAAGCCATAACATCACAGACATAAAAAAACAATTTGACATTTATTTAAGGATAGACATTTTTTTGGGAGAGGATGTTTGGGTCAACTTCATTAGTTAATAATTATTGATATTATTATAATAAAGCGTTAATTCACGTGTCTTATTTCATTGATACCACAAAAACAACAAAAGGTTGAAAGAGTGTAGTGTTAAAAATACACAACTATAGAAGAATACACACAATATTACAATAAAAACAGCACTTTTTTAAAAGTGTGTGGTTTTATTATTGTACGTTTTATTCTTGCTAATTATTTATTGTCTTTTATGAAGACACTTGGGCCCAATGTTATTGTAAAAGGTGATATACAAGTAAAGTTGAGTATGAGAGTCAGTATCACTGTGGCATTGATATGAGGAATATTGCAAACCCAAACAATCCTGATAAATGGTGTTATCACAAGTTTGAGGCAAGGCCCTCCATTCATATTACAAAGTGTGTCAGATACTGAACTAGGTGTAACCGATGAAGCTTTTATTGTGAAAGATGTGCATTTCCGGTATCCTTGTGCCAGCCTTCTTTGGGGGTTCACTCAGAGCCTATTATACCGCTCTGGGTTCACTAACCCACTAACTGACAGCCGGTTGCTAAGCGAATTAGCTAACCGCTAAGAGCAGCTGTGTCGTTTACACCGCCACAGTTCTGTTGTATCAGACCACATATAGCTTAATATAGCTAATTTACTGAGTATTTGTGGCTAGTGTAATTGGCTATCCTGAATTAGCCAACGTCAGCTGAAGGAGGCAGTCCTCGCAGTGCGTGGCTAGCTAGCAGAGAGGAGGGAGGGGACAAAAACTTCAAGACCTCGCCCAGCCACCGCTTCATTCCAGCAGGCAGCTACTCTCCGGACGGTGTGAGAGATACACACCACTAAACCAGATTAATATTCGAAGGGGAGACCGGCACAGTTGTGTCAACTAAAACAAAAGCTTGACATCATGTTTAGAAAGAACTTGAAGAAGGACCCGGAGCTGTTTCAGAACGTGTCGGAGGGGCTGAAGCGTCTCTACCGGAATAAGCTGTTCCCGCTGGAGGACACGTATCGGTTCCACGACTTCCACTCCCCGGCGCTAGAAGATGCCGACTTCGACAACAAACCCATGGTCCTCCTGGTGGGTCAGTACTCCACCGGAAAGACCACCTTTATCCGGCATCTCATGGAGCAGGACTTCCCTGGTATGCGGATTGGCCCGGAGCCGACTACGGACTCTTTCATCGCGGTGATGCACGGCGAGCAGGACGGGGTGATCCCGGGTAATGCTCTGGTGGTCGACCCCAAGAAGCCCTTCCGCAAACTCAACGCCTTTGGCAACGCGTTTCTTAACAGGTATAGTCCACAGACCACATTCGAGAGTTATTAGGCAATGTTATCAAAGCTGGTAAAGGTGCAGCTAGTTTTAATGACTTTGTATACTGCAGGGTAGCTTGTGAATTTACTCCAGGTGTAACTAAAGTCTGATTTAAGTGTTGTTTATATTGCACATCATTAATCCAAATCTGTAAAGTAACTATAGTGGAGTAAAAGTACACCATTTACCTCTGAATTGTAGTGGAGTAGAAGTACAAAGTAGCAAAACATTTCCCTCAAACTTGTACTTATCTACAGTACTTGAGTAAATGTACTTAGTTACTTTACACCACTGGAACTGAGCAGTTAGAGCCCTACGTTTATTTATCCACTTGTGATTGAAATGAATAGGTTGTGTCTGTCTTTAAATATCATGTGTTAATACAGCTGTTTGTCAAGAACTGTGTCATAACAGAAGAGGATTTAAATGCCCCCTCTGCATGTCCCTACATGCAGCACACAGGTACATTCACAGAATGCTGTTGCACATTGTTCCCAGCAGTGTCAGAGCCAAGTGTGTGTGAGAGTTCTCCCTCTTTCATCCTCCTGAGAAAATGTGGTTGTTTAGTGTCAACAGCAACATGTAAACCCCTCTGTGTATGGCAAAGCAAGTGACCGCAAGGTGCTTTCCAACATCTGATCCCTGATAATTGATAACATCTGATCATTTAAGTCCTTTCACTTTGGACCACGTCTTGCCAGTTAGCATTCACCTTGCCCTACTTCATACTTATTTGTATTTAAAGCTCCTGTCGTGGACACTGCTGACAGACTGTTTTGTACAAAACAAAGTATTTTTATTTTGTATACCAAAACTTGCACAACCAAACCAGGACTGAACAATACATTTAATTGATCTGGCAATATCGAATGCAAAATCTAATTTGTATGTGGCATAATATTTGGTATCGTAAAAATATGTACCATTCTGAATGAAGTGTTGTGGTGCTAAAGAGATCACCTAGAGGGCCTTCAAATCATATTATACAGGTAGAACAATGGGTTTGGTACATAACCTTGAAAAAACCACGATCATTTAATTTTTTTTCAAATAAAATAATAAATATGCAATAAGGATAGGTCACTACAATATGGTAAGTCATATCTCAGTAGCAACATCTGTCAACAAATCCCTAACCCAGACCATATTTACTAGGTTTTGGACGGGGGAACAAGATTCCAAGCACTGGCTAATGCTCCCATGAACATAGATTTAAATATGTAGTTTTGGTGGAAGATAAATGTTCACGGGAGCATTATCTAGTAAGCTGACTCTCTTTTCTCTTTCTTTACACCACATATAATTTGTCCCAATGTCACAGCATGGCCTCTTGAATTTACTGTAGAAATAGTTGTTAGTGTTGCTAGGCAACATGCTGACCTTGTCCTGCCCTCGGATGTAGGTGCCATAAGCCCCTTACCCCTCGGTCATATAAGTGTTAACTCATCAGTGGAGGCCTGCGAGCCAACTCCCTATTTCACTCCACCTGTCTGTAGGCGATATGAAACCTTATCACAAAGGTTTAAAGGTTTTTGTGAGACCGTCTCTTAGTAGTGTTTCATTGAGTCAGCAGGTTTTACACTAGGACATTCAGCTAATCAGAGGTTGATCCACATTACCCAGAGATCCGGAGGGAACCTCCTTCTCAAAGTTTTATGAATCACTCAGTGAACCTTAGGCCTGATGGCAAAGTCTGAAAAAACTTCCTCTTGGCAAGATCTCACATGACTCACAAGTATTGCACAGGTTGAGTTCTCACTGATTAATGCAAGATGAGAATTACAAAGAGAGAGAACTCAGAGTGCTAGGTGGGAATGCAGAAGTTGGCAGAGCCAGTGTGACGATGTTTAGTGAACACATCTTAATCCAATCTATTGTGGGTGGATTTCAGATGACATCAGAGGGCTGACATCCAAATGTTGATGGTGTCACTTCCTGTAAAGGATGTGGGTATACCCCCTCTCTACAGGCCCAGTGGCCAGAGTGGTGGTGTCACCCTATACAGGAAAAGCCAGCAAAACAGATTAACAAATAATACATTAATGACTTATTTGTGGACACTTGACATTCATGATCTTGATCTGTTATTATGTTGAGGTTATCAGGTGGTTTGAGTGGCCATATATTGTATTAGTAACAGGACTACATTTGACAATTCCCCAGGCCTATTTACTGTTATCCGTCGGGATCCCTTCCTTCAATTGTGTGAGAGTGTTTGCTTTATCTTTCATGAGTGAAAGCTTCTGCCAAAAAGAATCAGTCAAACTTAGAAAAGTGAAGTCATGCATTTCGGATAACACGCTCAAAAGAGAGGGGGTGTCAGACCTCAGAGATTCACCTCTGGAGTTTATTACCGACTTGAGGGGAAACCAGATAAGATTTTTGTATAAACAAAGGCTATTGTCCGTTGTAGCATCATTTGTCAAACTGTTGGAAACAATCCTCTGAGATCATGTGACTTGTGGTTCTCTTTGAATTCAGGCTTGAGCATTCATTGGCTTAGGGAAAGCTCCCATGATCATATGTGTAGGAGCCAGGAGTGATTTCAGAGTGGATTTTGTAGTCATGTTAAGGTTTGTGGTAGGTTATATTTAGTATTTCTTTTGTTTTTGTTTGTGATACTTAAATGTATTTCGGTATGCAAGATAATGGGGAAAGTTGGGCCCCATTGTTTTCCGATATCTCTGTTTGAACAGTGTGGTGTATGTGTAGGCCTTAAACTAAAGTAATCAGGTGTGCAGGCAACTAGCCCAAAGCAAGCCTAAAAACGTGTTCAGGAACCAGTTCCAGACAAACATTTGGAGGTCAGACTAGGCCAGTTTTTCACTTTCCTTTTGAGGAGGCCAAAAGTATCTGAGTTGGCTTTCCGCTGTTGGTTGACTGAATGTGTTTTTCTCATAGAAGTAGATGGATATAGATGTGAAAGATCACATTTTGAGTTGACAGCTTTTGGTGAAGGGGAGAATGACATTTCCAAAGGGGCACAGAAGGCCTTGCTCAGCGTGGTGCTCTTTAACTATAGTCATTCAACCTGCAGATTAGCCTCTAACTACCAGCCTCAGATAGGATTTACCCCCTCAATATAATCAGTTATTTAAGCAGAGTAAACAGAAATCAGTATTTGGATGTGATCCACACATCTACAATTTACTCTTGGATTTGGAAAACCCAAAATATAGTGTCTGGTGTTCTCTTTCTTCTAGCTTGCACATTTTTACAGCTTTACTATTATTTACATTTCAGAGCAGTCTGGTTTCAGACTGTGTCTTGTTGCACTGAATCTGAAATGTTGCTGTAAAAGTAACTGCACATAATCCTGAACACTTGTTCCTGCTTCTTTTTAACTGAAATACCGCTGCAGTCAGAGGGTCTCAGTGTGTTTGTGCTCTGTGTGAACATTAGTCAGTTAAGCCCGAGTCAGCAAAGCTTAAGTTCCGCACCGGGCCACCCCGTCCCGCACTGTCCCGCTCCGTCCTGTCCTCCTCATGGCCTCCTCACTCCCGGATACTGACTCTGCACTTTTCTCAGAGGAGGTTACACAGGCACATCTTTACATACAAATGCACATGTGTGTAGGTATTGATATCTGATGAATAGATCATTTATTTTCAAACACAACAGCATTTTAAAGTAGGCAAAAATGTAAAAGTAACACAGTTGTAAAGTAACCTCCTTGTCCACATCCCTAGTGCTAGCCACAGCGCTCTGTTTCCTCTTCTGTACGGGAAGTTGAGGTTACAATGTGAAGGTCAGGAGGTGGGGACTGAGAGGAAGACCCTCTTTCATCAGCTGGGGCCAGACCCCCAAATTACATGAGAGTATTAACCCAGGTTCACGGTTCACACCAGTGCCACAGCCTCACAGAGGGGATGGGTTTCTCACTTACTGGAGACATCATCAAACAGTGAGGAATCTCGGAGAGCTCTAGTCTCTCGGTTCCTCTGGAAGTGTCTTCTGCTTCGAAGAATTCCAGCTCAAATTCATCGGAGCATTTTTTCCATGTGGAAAATGTCGGGATAGATAGTTAAATGGAAAACATGAGCCAAAATTCCTACTGGATATCATACGCCATTAGCTTTGAGAGGGAATGGAAAAACCTGCATGTTTGTTATCTTTGGCAGTCACTGCCATTGTAATGTAATAGCATGCTTAGGATCTATTTGCAAGAAGCCCCTCTCTCATACTTGTTCTTTGTCTTTGGTTTTTCCTTTCTCCTCCCTACGTGTGGTATGGAGTGCGTGTGTTTCTGCGCTCAGTGTGGTTGCAGCAGGAATGTAAAAGCACGGTTCTCCCGGTCTTATGACCCGGTGCCTCTGAGCTCATGTTGTGAGTATCGGTTCAATTTGAGTGGAAGATCAGCAGAGCAAGAAGTAGTCTGAACCGTGGGGTGTTTTTAACAATCCACTTCTTTGTCCTGAGTGGGAAACCATTGTTTTATGTAAAACCACTCATCCTGTCACGTTTCATAGTGGGTGTGCCTTGGTTTGATTTCTGTCGAAGAGCAACACTCCCCTTTAATGTGTAAACCCCAGTGCTTAAAGGAGACCATTGTGTAGTGACTAATGTTAAATTAGCAAGACTCAGGCATACAATTCATATCTTACTATGTATTGTACTAGTGTTTCCTACATTAATGGTTACCTCCTACAACCCCCCACCACTGTTTGGAACATCTGAATCACGTAGTCCCATTGCTGTTGTAGATCTAAAGGGTCAACTGGAGCTGACACAATACATCTATTAGTCAAACACAAAGGATTTGTCTAGCCATTTTGATTATAGATTCGTAATTCAAGTCATTGTTTTGAGCAGGAAATGCCAAGTTTTTATTGATGCCAGCTTTTAGATTTTGAGGATTTGCTGCTTTTCTTTGTCTTATCTTTAACACACTCAATGATTCATCATCCAGAAATGAATTGGCAGATGAATCATATACATACTAGTGTAGGCTCCAGCCCTAGTATCAAGATCAAATCAACCCACCAGTATTAACCTATTCTATTCAAATGAACACTTTTGAGCTGCAGGGTATTCCAGGCAGCACCCTGAGCCCAAACCGCTCCGTACCACCTGCAGCGACTTTGTTTGTTTTAATGCAACATTATTCCTCTTTTGTGATTGCCTCGAGACTTGACGGTTGATTCTGAAAGCTTATCTTTAAATCATAGATAATAGAAAAGAATAGGTGTGACATTATATCCTAACTCACTTATTGTCAGCCTGCCAACATTGATTGAAAGCATGTTTTGTTCTCTTGGTGGAAAACAATCAAAATCCAACCAAGAGATTTGCTTTCTTGCTTCTTTAATGAAAAGAGAGGCACTTTCACCAAAGCTTTCAATTACAGCACATTTCAAACTGGACCCAGGTAAGATGGCTGCCATGTGTTTTCATCTCAGAATGCCATTTAGAAAAGTTCACTGCTATTGTTGAATACATATGGCATGCACACTCAGCGGCTGGTTTTTGACTTCTCTCCCTCTCTCCCTCTATGCCTCATACTCTCGATCCTTTCTCTCTTCTGTCTTTACTTTCCTTCTCTGCACTCTGCACCCTCCCCTCTCTCATGGCTGCGTTTTCTCCGCAGGTTCATGTGTGCGCAGATGCCTAACGCCGTCCTGGAGAGCATCAGCATCATCGATACCCCTGGAATCCTGTCGGGAGAGAAACAGAGAATAAGCAGAGGTCAGCTGACGTAAACACCCGCACTTTACTCTCCCACTCACCCACTCCCTTTAGCAGAGCCGCACCCTCCCTGCTCAGCAGCTCTGCAACACTGTAATGCCATACATGCAAAATGAACCCACAGGAAGTCACGAGTGCAGATATGAAAAGGAAACATGCTTAAGCAACGTACAAGCTTCCTTTCCTTAAGTCTCACTCTGGTGTTTCTGTGTGGTTCATAGTGCCGTCCAACCCGTATTTAAATCTAACACCCTCAGGTCACAGCCTAACCAAACAGGTCATGTCAATCTGATGGACGCATAGGGTAGCCAAGAGAAGCACTTTGAAGTTCATTTCCTATCTGTACCTGTGGTTTTCTGCACCATCCTTTTTCACATCCTTCCTTATTTTTTGTTTTTCTTTCTTTCTGTTCAGATTGGCACATAGCCAGGTTTATATTAAAAGATTAGCGACAATATGTGAAAAACATTTCCTCTATGCGGCTGTTTACCCCCTAAATGTGTCTTGTATCATTTATCACTTTATACCCGAGTCATTTCCCTGTACTGTGCGGGAATAAATACATTTATATCTTTATCCATTCGTCCGTGTGCTGTGACCTACAGGGTCACTCCAGATTTGCCACATCCACAGTTTTACTTGACTTGTGATGATCCTACAGAACTCAGGCTGCCGATAACAGCTGAACACAGCTTCTGCTTTCTCTACCTGGTTCAAGCCCCTTTAAGAGGAAGCACACGTTCACATGTTTTGTGTGTTCTCTAGGGAAAGGATGTGGAGTAAAATGGCAAACCTAGCAGAGAGTTTCCCAAGACCCCTTCCCACCAGCACCTCAGGGAGCTGTTACACTGTCGGAAATCTGCCCTTTATTATTGAGTTGGATTTCCCACGACACACGGCAAGAAAAGAAATTGAAAACTGTTTAACATGTAGAGCTAAAATGAGTCACTATACAGGAAATGTGCAACTATTCAAGGAATGGATTCATCATTTAAGGAATTTTTCAAGGAGAGACGCCAAACACTCTTTGGTTATAGCTTCTCCCTTTGAGAATGAGCTACTTTAACTATTAACTGACTGTTGGTAGCACATACCAAGCTATTTAAAGACATTACTTTTGAGCTTTTTGAACATTCCTTTGGCCATTTTTCAGTGTTTTCTGACATTTCATTGATCAGTGTTTAACAATTGAATAGAGTAAATGATTGTCGGAATAACTGAAATTGTAAATAGCTAGTTGTAGTCCTTATAAGATGCAAAAGGAGAGACGGAAAGAGTACGGTGGTTGGCAAAGAGACACTGTCAAACTGGCCAAACAAGCGACTGTAAACAGACAGTAGTAGTGCCATGCTCTGATAAGCATCTGAAGGAAGTGTCTGCATGAATGAAATGCCGGCTCATGTCGAGGTGACTCCATCTGGAAATCTAATGCCTCACACCTCAGTTTTGTTTCTGGACATACATGTTTATACCTTCTTACTCTTGAAAACCAAACGTAAAATACACACACTCCCTCTCACACATTATTCTCTGAACGGTTTTTATGTAAACAAAGACACAATGCTGTACTACACAGACACAATGTACTCACTGGGTCACATATAAACAGGTCTGAGTTGGTTGTGCAGCTCAGGTGTGACGGTCGTGTGTGTGTGTGTGTGTGTGTGTGTCACTTCAGACAGCTTTACAGTCGGAAAGAATATAATTGTGTGTTGTCAAGTCATGGACGCTTTTTATTTCACAATGCTTTAATTATGGATCCATTTTTGATTATGTCAGCAAATGTGGCTCAGAGTTCCTTCCTGAGTGAGCAGTGAAGTGACGAAAACTATAACGAAACTGTGATTTTACAGAACTGGTTGGCATCTTTCCCAGATGACTCAAAATAGTAAAAAGCCATTTAGCAAATTTAGCTGACAGAATATGTTTGCACGTGAACTTTTAAAACTTGTGGACATGACATACCCCTGAAGTAGAATTATGAAATGTCTCCACGCTTAAGTTATTTCTCCACGCTGCCCATTCTCATGTCTTTAAGCTAAATGGGAATCTACTGCAAATGATAAACCGAGCTGTTGAAACGATTGGTTAATTGGTCAATTAGTTGATCAACAGAAAATGAACAGCAATTATATTGATAATAGATTTTGCTGAAAAAAAGCCATCGGCACCTTGTTTCACGAAAATGAAGATGGATATATTTCACTATTTCTTTTTTCTTGCATCCCTTATGTTTTCATGGGGCTGGTATGTGCATTTTGTTGATCCTGGACACAACTGGGGTAGCAGTTTTTATGCTAAGCTAACCAGCACCTACCTGAAACTGTATATGTATCGTGCTGACATGCCATTAGTATCGATCTTATCGTCTGTCTTCCAGCAGGAAAGTAAATCAGTGTTTACCAAAATGTCAAATCATTGATTTAACTATCCAGGACATTTATTTAGTAATAAGACTTTATTTTAAGACGAATAACTCTACAGCCTGGACTTCTTACCTCTCTGCTCTGTGATTGGCACATGATGATGAGGCATGTGGAAACCTGTCATCGGCACACGAGTGTTCCCCTGCATGTCGACCCACATGGTAAAGACGCAGCAGTTGTCGATGCTATGTGCTATAAGTATGTTGAGGCTTGAACAGCTGTTTCTCTGTCTGATTCCCTCACACTGTGTTAAAAACAGACTTGAGAGAGAATGAGCAAATGTCCTCGGCCTGCTCCCACAGGGATTGTGGACTTTAAATATTCCCCTTTTATCCCTCTGCTTTCACTTTCCTCAGACACAGCAAACTCATTTTGTCTAAGATCTATTCCTGTGTCAATCTTTTATTATATTCATGTTTCTCTATTACTCACCCCCATCTCCCCCTCTATCGCTCCTTTTTAGAAATGTAAAATATGGTCTCATTCTGTCCATCTGCTGTATCTCTGTCCGTCTGTCTTTTGTGTACACGTGCTGAGGCTCAGTCAAAAGCCTGCTATGTTGGAATGCATGTGCAGCAGATCTAGATCTGATTGTGCGACAGACGGGATGAGCTTTGAGAGCAACTGCATTCTTCTCTAATCAGATGACACACGGACGCTAATCAGAACCATAATTCTCTCTTCCTCACTTTCCCCTTTACTCCTCGAGGCTCAGGGAAAAAGTCCCCTTTGTATCATTCCACTTAGCCCCCTTGTTTCTCCAATAACCAAAGGAAGTGAAAAGCAAACGGAGTTTCTCATAACTGACACTGCATGGCGTTTTATCGTAACACTTGTATTTCCTCTCTCAGATCTTTGCTTCCTTTTTTTCTCATTACAATCAGGCTTGTTTCTTGTAGGACACGTTGCTGAAACATTTCCCGGATAAAAAGTCATTTCATTCCACGTCGGATTCTCCAAATCAAACCGTCCCTCGTACGCCTTTCCTGCTCTCTCAGTATAGCTGGTTAATAGCTAACCAGGGGGAAACAGTCCTGCCTTGAGAGTCCTTATCTAAACATTAATGGATCAACATTACTTGGAATATGAACGTAAAACTAATTTAACCTGCCGACATACAATTGATTGACTTATTTATCTTGTATTTATCCACTGCAGTATGCATGTTTACTATGTGTAAGCACAGTACTAGTGCAATCATGTAACACATGCATTCAAACTGACATGAGAAGAAAACAAGGTAACGACAATCCATTAAAGTCAGTTCAGAGCAGTGTGCAGCGTCCTTTTGAACCTACCTTTACCAACGGTTCTAATACACAGGGTTGTTCTGAGTTGAATCTCACTCGCTTAATCACCAAGTATTAGCCGAAGAAACCAGTGTAATGTCAGCCAGAAATAAAACATGTCAAGGCAGAATTGTCACTAAAATAAACTTGAGACAACTAAAAAACAGAGCAGTTGATATGACACTTTATCTGAATATTATCTTTCCTTCCTAAAGTCACAGTAATACAGCATCCTTTTGTAAAACTGATGTTAAATAGTTGTATTCGGACTAAATTCATTCAGGACTTAACGTTTTCCTGACCTTCAATCAGTCAATCAGCTATTTTAAAACAGCGGGAGATAATCCCGTGAATCAACTGAATACAAATAGCAAGGAAAATGTTTTAGGATTTCACTTTTTTATGTATATTCAGTGTTTATGAATTGAGTGTTTATCAGTATAAAAAAGACTAAGAGAATGTTTAGTAATATGTTTACCAGAAAAGTGTGGGTTTTTATTTTCTGATTTTAATATCATTTGGATGTCTTATCTGTGGTCATGTTTTAATGTTCTGCATCAGCTAACGGGGTCCTAATATAATCCTAAATCCGAGTAGGTGCAATACTGAAGGTCATCAGGGGTCACATCGGTGCTTGTGTCGATCCCGTCTTCAATCCGCTGCTCTCTCCTTCTTTCTCTCCAGGGTACGACTTTGCGGCGGTGCTGGAGTGGTTTGCAGAGCGCGTGGACCGCATCATCCTCCTGTTCGACGCCCACAAGCTGGACATCTCAGACGAGTTCTCCGAGGTCATCCGAGCCCTGAAGAACCACGAGGACAAAATGAGGGTGGTGCTGAACAAGGCCGACCAGATCAGCACTCAGCAGCTGATGAGGGTCTACGGAGCGCTGATGTGGTCTCTGGGAAAAATCATCAACACACCTGAGGTAAAAAAAGACAGAAATCTGCGTATATGTTTTTGTAATTCACAAATTCCTTTCAATGGAAAATGTTTTAATTTGAGTGGGATCTGAGACTTAAATGTTAATGTTTTAGGGAAACAGTTTCTCTTTTAGATCAGTCTGGTCAGGTGACTTTCCCAATGATGGTGTCAGATTTAAGGAACATCATAGTGTTCTCAGTTTGTCACCGTAACAAAACACTACCGCTACCTGATATCGTGTGACCCGGCTTGTCTTATGATTTCTCTCTGACTGTGAAGTTAATGTTTGATCCGGGGCCATATTCATAAACCAGTCGCAGAGAAACCTTTGGAACATGTAGACAATTATTCATTGACTTTGAGAGTGCTGTGTTTTGTGAAGCTTCTCTACAGGACACATAAGTGTTAAGATTGTCTTATTGCTTCACTTTGTACCTCACTGTCCAGAATTGCATTGTCACACATCGTGTATATCTATTTTCTCTGTGTTTATTTGGAGTGTACACATAAGAGCTTCTGGTTAAACCAGATGAATGAAAAACAGCAGAGATTAATGGAGGTTAACTTGAGCAACGGTCATTCCAGGTGGTGCGCGTGTACATCGGGTCGTTCTGGGCCCAGCCCCTGTTGGTGCCAGACAACAGGAAGTTGTTTGAGGCAGAGGAGCAGGATCTGTTCTTGGACATCCAGTCGTTGCCACGTAACGCAGCTCTGCGCAAACTCAATGACCTCATCAAACGAGCACGCCTCGCCAAGGTTAGTTAACTAGAGGCTCATTTCATGTCAGTCCATCCATTAGTTCAGGTCAGGACCAAAGGGCTGCTTCCATTGTCCTGCTGCTAAAGCAGCTAGAAAAACACCTGACTTTAAAAGTTGCCTGAGTGGATCTTATTGTCACTCTCGTTCTTTCTCATTTCTCATCACCACCCCCTCTCCTCAAACCCCACAAGAGGGGGAATTCTCACAGAAAATCCTGTTTTATGCAACTCTGTCAGTGTTTAGTTTATTTATTAACTAAAGGCAGAAGTAAGTGCAATGTTATGTCTTATGTAGATTTCATGAATTCACAACTTTTAAAGTCCCCCATGAAACACATAAAATACTCATTAGTCATGTTGCTTCAGCAGATAAATGGGAAAACAGACTACTGGTGTCAAACAACACAGTAAAGTCCAAACATTCAAGTGAAGTAAGATTTTGCAAAACATACTTTTTCAGTGGGGGGTCAATATGACTTTGTATTGGTAGCCTCTGTCGATGTTCATTCTGTGACCTGGGACGTTCGGTTAAAGACTCAGTTCATACAAAACCACAGTTTAATCATCACTGAAAAGATGTCCTGTTCCTTCATGGTGTCCAGGTGCAGGCCTACATTATCAGCTCTCTGAAGAAGGACATGCCCAGTGTGTTTGGAAAGGAATCAAAGAAGAAGGAGTTGATTGCCAACCTGGGAGAGACCTACCATAGGATCGAGAAGGAGCACCAGATCTCACCCGGAGACTTCCCCAACCTCGTCAAGATGCAGGTAAGATTCAATAAAAGCCTGAGCCTGAGCTGTATCAATCAGAGTTACATATTTGATGAAATCACAGCTTTGACTCTATTTCTGGCGTGTTGCATAACGCTTTATAAACAAACAGTTCAGAGTAGAATGACCTCCTGACCTTTACTCTCTTCACATCTTTGCCTTCTCTTTCCTGCCCTCTCCCGCCCAGATGGGCCAGGACGGGGGATGAGATTTATTTTTCCTGGTTTGTCAGGAAATCCTGCTTCTTGTATGCTACATACATAGGTAGCCATTGAAGACTGATCTATTTCCATCACCAATTCCTGTTTTCTCTCAACCCCCTCATCCCTGCAGGAGCTGCTGAACGCCCAGGACTTCACCAAGTTCGCAGCGCTGAAGCCCAAGCTGCTGGAGGCGGTGGAGGACATGCTCGCCAACGACATCGCCCGTCTCATGGCCATGGTGCGCCAGGAAGAAGCCGCCATGCCCAGCCAGACCGTGAAAGGAGGAGCCTTCGAGGGAGTCATGACGGGGCCCTTCGGTCACGGCTACGGAGAGGGAGCCAGCGAAGGCATCGACGAGCTGGAGTGGGTGGTGGGTCGCGACAAGCCCACATACGACGAGATCTTCTACACGCTCTCTCCAATCAACGGCAAGGTGTCCGGCGCCGCAGCCAAGAAGGAGATGCTGAAGTCCAAGCTGCCCAACACGGTCCTGGGGAAGATCTGGAAGCTAGCCGACGTGGATAAAGATGGCCTCCTCGATGATGACGAGTTCGCCCTGGCCAACCATCTGATCAAGGTGAAGCTGGAGGGCCACGAGCTGCCCGCCGCGCTGCCTGAACATCTGATCCCTCCGTCCAAACGTGGCTCATCCCTCGAGGCCTAGAGGGGGAGGAGAAACAGGAAGAGGAGGAGGAGGAGGAGGAAGGACAGCCTGGAGATCAGCCATGTCATCGCTCTTCATCGTGTTCAGAACTCTCCAAACACAAGCAGGCATCATCCTCCATCAAGCTGTGAGTCTCCAGGCACCAGGAGGACGTATAGCTGTGATCTTTTTCACCCAGAGAGAGACTGGAGGGGGGGGGGGTCCATCTTTGTGCATTAGGGGATAATATTTAGGTATCTATTAGAATTAACTGGGTGTTGATTTGCAAACTGATGAAAGGACATTGCCGGATCATGAACTGAGGATTGGAAGTTGCATGATGGATTTGTAGATCCTGTGTAAAAGATGTCATCTTAAGTATACAGTCCATATTATTATATGTTGATCCAAAGAAATATAGTTTTTTTTCCCATTTGGAGAGAGAAAGAGGAAATAAATCAAAACTGTTTAGAATTGTTTTATCTATATTTTTGTATTTCCTGTCTGTTAACTTTGACTCTTTCCAAATGCTTCCCTTTTTATTATTTTGCCAGATAAATAAAAAGGAATACTGTACCATCTGAGTCGCAGACGTATGCATTTTTATTGACTCGTTCTATGATATATTACATTGGAGTTCAAGACAATCTGATATCAGAATGAAACAGTGAAACGAAGAGGACAAAACCCAAACTATTGAAGCTTTAGCTGTAGTCATTTGTCATTGAGGAGATTGTCACATACAGTGTCAGGCAGAGGTCACCCTGACACTGACTTTTATTCTGATAGTTTCAGTGTAGTGTACCGCCCTCTGTAGGACAGAAACAGTCATTACCCACACTGCCACAGGACATATAAGGCCATTTTCACATGACACAAGTTGCCTCTGACTGCATATTTTAAAGGGCAAATTGATACCAGTCGGGCAGGCAGACACTTGTGACTTTCGCTGGAGCATTTTCAGGACACATGGAGACAATTTACAGTGCTAGAAAATGCAGTGCAGGCTCACACAGATGAGCACAAATCATAAACGGAAAGACAGGAAGCTGGAGCTTTATTAGTGTCATATGAGGAGACTGAAGGAGGCCTGTTTGCATAATCCAATATGGCGTATTTATAAGAAACTGAAATGTAAATGAGATGCACTGCAACATTATTTGAAGTTTATTTTCCATATGATTCTTTGTTACTCCAGAGAGCAGCAGCCAGGTGAGTGATGCAAGGCTTATCATCATGTAAACACACTTCTATACTGTATCTCTCACTGCGGGTTGTTTACATTTTTCACATTGGTGGCTTGTTTTCACATTCAGTCTAACTTCACCAGTCCTCCTCTACAAAACACTGTTTCATTTTCACTTTGCATTCAGAGTCTTCTCTCCCTCATCTGCATTACTCCTTTGAGACTCGTTGAAATTCTGCACACTGATACACTAGATTGTCAGCCAGCGTCAGATACACGAGATGCTCACCAGCTGTTAGTTTTCACCATGATGGCAGCAGGTTTCCTCTTTGATAAAGTCAACTGGTGCTCTCTTGTGTCTTGACAAGTTATTACAGGTAATATGACATTTTGTTTGGTCATGCTCTTCCTTTTTAGTCCCCCACAATATTTGTATGGAACTTTTTAACACCATTAAACACATCCTTGTACATTCATATATAACACAAGGCAAAATTGCTGCATTGATGCAAAACAAAGAAGGGGAAGGGAGAAATTAAGAATACAAACTAGAATAAAAGAACCCAACGTTTTATGACTCCAAATCAGAGAAGATGTGTGCCATATCTTTAAAAAAAGAAATTAAATTCCTTTTGTTTTGGTTTCTTTCTGTCTAATAATATGTTATGTACATTTTGGTTAAATGTTAATGCTTTTTCCACCTCACTGTACCCTGAAGTAGTTTATGTAAACTTACAAGTGGTTGAAATATCTGAGGATTGGTGTTTTTAAAGTAAACTCATACATTAAAGTACAGTCAAAATATTCATTTATCCTAACTTTCAAAAGTGTCATTGTAAATCGTTAATAAAGGTCACTCTTGCCTTTTCCCCATTGCTATCTGCATGGATGGATTGCTTAACAATCTTAGCGGGCACAGGCTGGGGGCCAACAGTGTCACATGGCCCACTGACCTTCACTTACCAAATGTGCCTCACATCTTGTAAAATGTGGAATGTGGAAACAAGGCGTTTAAAAAAAAAGAGGCATGAACCATCCAGGGAGATACTCAGAATGACCACAAAGAATCATAAAACAACTACAAATAGGCACAAAGACACCAGAACAGCTGCAAAAAAACACAAGATACCACAAAGACAATACAAACGACTATGAAAATAGATAAAACGATCACAAAACGACTTCTAAACAACTACAAATAGACTCAAAACGACTACAAAAACACAACCACAGACAACAATAATGAGAGAAATACCAAAACAACCACAAAAGAGGCTAAACAACTATAAAGTTTGTTATGCTCCTTTTTGTTGAGAGGTGTCGGGTCTTTTGCATGTCTTTTTTTTCAGGGGGGCATTGTCTCATAATCTGCCCGTGGCTATTTGTATAATCTTGTGTAAATGTCCGCTGCAGAGTGTTGTGAGGAGCATCAGAACTGACAGCTTTTGATAGTTTACAGCCTGCCTCAGGGTTCCTCTTGTTCTGTTATGATTATATATCGTCAGAGAGCTGCTCAAATGCCCACAGGGGTGTGAAGTCACTGTTCGTCCCTGTGTGTTTGGTTAGCTGTCTCACCCCCCCAATGTATATCTCTCCCATACACTGTTTCCTTTTTCCTGTCTTCCTCTGTTAGCACGTCACTATCTTCCCCTTCCATCCCATCTCTTCTTCCACATGTTTACAGAGAGCAGCTTTTCCCTGTTTTTGTGTTCTTTGTTTTACCCCCCTCTCTCCCTCTCTCTGGGTTTTGGGTCACTTCTACATCTAAAAATACTCCCCCCGGCCCGCTGACACACGAACCCCTGCAGAAAGTTGACTGTTTCAGGCTTATGTAACACGGTCATGTGGAGGGAGTGCTGTTTCTCGGAGGCAGGTGAGGAATGAGGCACCTGTATGTGTGTGTACTGTAAATCTGAGCAAAAGTGCACAGTGAACTCGTAAAGGGTAACGCACAACTGTGATAAATGCAGTGGGGCCTTAATAATTTGAAAGCCCTCAGAGGTTATAAAACAATGTATTTTGTCATGCTTTCAATTAACATGAAGGATTAAACTGTTTCTCTGTGGCCTAAAACAAATCCTAAAACCCCTGAAGCTCTATGAAATGACCAAAACACATCTGGATTGCTAATTAAAAACATAGCTGTCAGTGACAGCTATGTTTTTAATTTGCCTGTCACCTAAGGAATGAACATTTTTAAATCGTGTTGAGTGTTAAAGGTGGGGTAGGTGATTTTGGAGAAACCAGCTCGAGTGCGCTCGAATTTGAAAATACACAGCCGGAAAAAATCTGCCACTTCCTTACAGAGCCCCTCCTCCAACACACACAAATGCGCACATGACCAATGAGGGCACGAGATAAGTTTGTGCACAGATGGAAGGCTGACAGGCAGGTAGACCATCCAGTTAATTTAGCCGGGCCGGCTAAAATGATTGGTCGTGCTTTTTACAGTACTACGGCTTCCACAGATGACATTTTGTTATGGATTTGTCAAAGCACTTAAGATATTCATTGCTATCGGGATGTTAAGAGCATTCCATGGAATGTATCTCGAGCCGGTTTCTCAAACTTACCTACCCCACCTTTAATGAACAGTAAACAGTACATACAACAAATCACCTCTCATGAAGTGTAGTTAAAAATCACACAAGAGTCAATACATTAAAAGGACAAGGATTTATTTGTTGTCATACAGACAAATGGATACAGAGCAAATCAGAGCAGCATTCGGTTTTCATCCGTGTTTTCAGTGAGTGCCTCACAGTTTCACATTTTGAAGGGAAGTGAACGAAGAGGCAGTCAGAGAAAGAGGAGGAGGAGGGAGGACATAAGTGCTTAAAAGGGAGTCTGATTACCAGCATGACATTGACCCCATTAGTGTAGAGTAGAAAAGTTGGTGGTTTTACTCTGAACTGGCATTACAGCTGCGAAAAGTGTCTTTGCAATGTCTGGAGGTAACTGAAGGGCACATATGGAGATTTTGACCAGTGTAGACTTAAAACAGACACAAAACATCACATTTCTTTAACAGAGATGATCACAACTGTACTGACTTAAATATCAAACAATCAATGTTTTAAACATCAGTGTGAGTCGTCAATTGAGGCTAGCTGTTGTGTCAGATCATTAAAAAAAGTGATTTCTGTGTTTAAAAGTCCAGTTTGAGGTAGGCTGATATGCAGTTTGGGGCCAGAAAACTGGAAACACCATGCCGTACTGCTATGTGGTGTCCCCAGCATCGGCTCAGTTTATTTATGTGCTTCAGGCTCAGCAGGTCGAGCTGGCAGCAGGGTGAGGGGCTCCGAACATGTCCTGCGAGGCGTAGGTGATGTACAGGAAGCCGTCGGCGTCACAGTAGTGGGAATAAACCTCCCCCATGCTGGAGGACATGCAGGTCATGCTCTTCTCTGCCACCAGGAGGAACAGAGCCTGTGTGGACTCCAGGGAAATCTTATTCCTGAAAAAGAAAGATAGAGAGAAATTGATGAAGAAAACAACAACAGGAGAGAGGGAGGCAGCAAGCGGAGAACAATATCTGACAGCTCGTAGGAGAAAGTGGAGAGAAGGGAGTGTTGGATTGAGAAGAAACAGGCTAAAAAAACTCAAGCTGTAGGTAGAGAAGTGAGAAGGAGAAAGTCTGTTTATGCTACAAGCACACAGTGGCACAAAGCATTTACCTGAGCAGGCAGAGGAACTGACCCAAGGTGAGCTCGAAGGGAACCAGGAACTTTGTTTTGTCCAAAAGGGGGAGATTCTTTTCACGGACGTAACGTTCAACAATAACCTGAACACAAAAAACACATGAAATAAGCCAACTTTTGTGCCCTGACATGCAATATAAAGTTTGATGGTGATTAAATGAATTAGGTTTACATGCAACAAACTCACAGGTAATTTGTTGGGGAATTTGGACCGAATGCTGCATACTTCATCTTTTCTTGTTTCTAAAAAAGAACAAGTGCATTAATTTATAGACGTGTTACACTTCAGCCTTGTGAGGTTTACATGTAAATAACAAATTGAGACTCACCCAGGCATTTCCTTTGCTTGAAGGGCATCAGCAAATCCATGGATTTCTCAAAAGGTGCCATTTCTTCGTAGTTTCGTAGGGCACTTTGCAGAGACCAGCGGTGAAGGTGGAGACGACGAAAGTCTTTCCCAGGCTGACGGTGATGTCCCCTCGGGTGGAAGCTAGCAAACTCCACTGAGCTGCTACCAAAGCTGCTGTTTTAAAGGAGAAGGAGCAGGGAGGGGTCCAAAATGTGACACTAACAAACAACGACACACTCCTCGTGCTGGTGGGCTGCAGATCACACATACTGGTTATCTCACCGGGCATTATCACATGTACTGGTGATATTGGGTCCATAATCCACAGAGGGGTACAAACATGAGTGTAATGAGGGCATGTGAAGAGCATAAACAGCACATGACATTAATGATTCAGACGAAAACGGAGTCCAGAGGAACCCGGTGCCACTTTCATCAAGAGATCTGATTGCTCTGAATTCCACTCTGACCTTTGACCTCACTGTCTGATAGCCATGCAGGACACATCACATTTGCTTTACTCTTGTTTCAGCTGGTCTGAGATCAATGATCAATACTAACACTGACGAGCGTTGATGAGGATTCTGAAGTTTTAAATCTCTTACAGGCGCAGTACTGCAAAAGATGAGAATATGTTTCCATTTTTCTTGTTTGCATGTTCTTGTTTTTGTGTTCAAAGTTGATATACCATTATATACTGTCTTCCTCTAGCATTTATTCTGGAGCACTTATAGTACTTTGAATCCGACAGTAATTTGACCGTAACTAAGTATAAATTCAAGTATTTTACTCTAGTGCAATATTAAGGTACTGATTTGGTTCTTTATATTCCTACTTTCTGCTACTTTTGAAAAATATATAATTGTTTTATTATTTTTTGTAATTTTGCAGATTCAGATTAATAAAAAAATATAATCTACAAAGAAATATAATATGACAGATTAAGATTAACCTTAATGGGAACTTTATGTTAATACTTTTATACTTTTAATGAAGTAAAGGTTTTAATCTTCCCTTTTACTCGTTACAGATTATTTTCACACTGTCTTTTCTTAAGTAAAAGACACACTGTGTTTTCTTAAAGACCTGAACACTTCTTGCACGGTCCTCCGGTGGGCGATAACTTCTGCGGATAAAGATCATGATCAAATGCTTTAGTGGACCTTGAGCTGAAATACTTTCTCTCCTGTGCTAACATTGGTTTAAGGTTTAAGATTAAACATATACCCGTTGTTTAAATAGTATTCATTATATATAGATTGGATGTAGTTATAAATAGAGCAAGGCCTCTAGATTTGGTGTTTCACCGTGCTTCCTGGTTTCTCTTTCTAAAAGTACCATGTTACACTATTTCAAACAGTTGCCACAATCATGGACGGTTCTAGGGGGGGGGGGGGGCAGGGGGGGCCAGTGCCCCCCTAACACTGACCTCTGACCCCCCTGTGGCCCCCCAGTTTTTTTTTTTTTTTTTAAATGTATATTTTCTGGTACTCGGTTTGCCAAAAACCGCAGGATTTTGTTGCTGTAATGTGAGATTGTGCAGACACACTTATGTAAATAAAATATATAAATATGGTGTTAGTGCAAACATTGCACTATAACTTAAGCTGAAGCTAACAGTAATAACTATAACATCTATCTGAAATAAATAAGTGTACTGAAACAAATACCAACAATAACTGTATTGCATTGTTTTCTTATGCGCAATTACTTCATACTGTCTAGTTCTCTTTTTCGTCCTGCATTTATTGTGCCCCCCCCTCATAAAATAACTGGCCCCCCAGTGGCCCCCCCCCAGTCAAATTGGTCTAGAACCGCCACTGGCCACAACAACATTTTAGTGTTAAATCTTACCTTCATGATATATATAATCTTACGTTTTTGTTGAAACTATTATAGAGAGATGTTGATTCAACTGTGTGATTATCTGGTAGGCTGCAGTTTATGCTGCTGTTTAATTATACTGCTGGATTCTCATACTTTAAACTTCACTGTAGGCCTATATATATAAACCAGCAACTGGATGTACTTACAGTTTAACTCGGATAAGAAACACTGAGCCACCAGCCAGTGGAAATATAATGAAATGCAGTGTTGTGGATAAAGATCACCCTCTGCTGGATGAATGTGGCACTAGAGCAAAGTACACTGCACCTGTCAAAGATGCAGAAAATATATATATAATTGGCTGAAAAGAGTTTGCATCCATCAAAAATAACAGAACGGGAGAAGAAGGAGAAGAAGAATAACTGCTTCTTGCCTGTGTGTCAGTGTTGCTGATGATGAGTCAATTAGTTGACTCATTTGTTTAAACAAAGCAATCTTTTCTGATTGTACGCACTTTCACAAAAATGTACATACATTTAAAATATACAGGAATTGATTATAATGTATTTGTGCTGCAAACAGGCCTATTTTTACAAAATAAAACACATGTAAATGAAATAATGATTAAATAGAAAGGGCAGACAACACGACCTAGAAACGAGCATTTGAGATTAAATAAATGTCACGAGTTTCAATTGAAATTTGATTACATCATAACATCTGGGTGCTACTTTACGCGTCAGCCTCGGCCCTCGTCACTGATGGCCGGCCCGTCCTAAAGCCATTGTTAATTTTATTATTACAAGAGAAACGCCTTTTTGTAGCTCCATAGCATGCTGAGGTCACTTTTAACCCCCATGTGAATACTGTGGGAATGTGAGTATTTGTCCCCTCTGGCATCCTCTACAGTGGAGTTGGACACTCGGGGGGATTTTTTCTATGCGTCCATTCGAAAAACTTCCCCAGCCAATGGGTGCTCAGCTCCGGTGCCGCGGCTCCTCCTCCCCCTGCTCCCACATGTAACGTTATCTCCCCCTGTCTGTTGCATTGTCTCATAGGGACGCAGCGTACTGGAGCACCATGGTGACTCCACTGGACTGGGAGGCTTTAAGTGACATTTAAAAACAAAAGGATCGTGACAACAGGAAATGAGTTCAGGTCTCGTTGATGTTCCCTCAGTGTACCGGTGGATTCATTAATTCAGTTATTGTGCCAGTAAGCAGGGCTGCCTGAGGCTGTGGGCTGCATGGCACGTTAGAGATGGTCATTATATTTTCTTTATCGCGGTCATTTTAGCGGTTACCATGTTGCTATCTCAGGTCCGGACCCTTGTTGCTCTACGTGGAGTTGCAGCGTAGCGCCCACTTATTTCTCTCATCCACTGCACGGACACTGATCGGTGGTCAGCGGTGCGCCCCGGTTCCGCTTTCCCGGGCTCCGCTGCGAGGATGGCCGGACGCCGCAGCTGCGTGAACTCGCTGTGGTCGGGCAGCGAGCGTGTCCGCATCGTGGAGCGACTCAAAGCCACTCTGGCCGGTGTGGTGGAGCTGGAGCTGCTCAGGTGCAAACACCTGGAGATGGTGGACGCTGCTCTGGAGGACCGAGCCTCTGCTGCCGCCAACGCCGCAGAGCTACCAACGGAGGAGGGGATCAGAGCTCCGGGGAGCACCGCCTCGGAAGCCGAGCATGGCTCTACGACATCCCGCAGGCAACAGGTCAGTCAGTGCGTCTGTCACTGAGCTCTACATGACGAGATTATTAAATATGAATGCGGGGATGATGGTGATCTGCCAACAAGCCAGTCCCTCTGCGGCTCAGTAGACAGATTGTATCGCTGCCCGGTGGCTCATGTCTGTGCCAAGGGCTGTGCACCCATGTGATTGAGATGGTGCTAGGGAACATCCATGCATGCAGCCTGATCATTTTCCACAGCAGCAGTGTGTGTGACCGTAACTAACATGGAGCAAATGTCATTGATGTCAGGGCACAGACCAGCTTCTGTCTGGCTCCCTCAAGGTTAGAAACAGGATGTGATGGGAGACAGGCGTTAAATGAGGGTGCAGGTATCAAACTACAAGCCAGCAGTTTGATGGCTTGTAGTCATCAAACTGCTGCAGTTTTTTGGTTAATCAACAGTAAAGGTCACTTTGGCACCGAGTTTGCATTAAAATCAGAATACAAAATGATGGTAGACTCCATCACTGTCTGACCCGGGCTATACATGCAGTGCTGATCTTTTATTGTGATATCCTGAATGTTCCAGTGTAGTGACACAAATGATAGGACATGAGCTCTTCACCAACACCCTCATATAAAGTAACCCTTTTTCCAACGTCGTCCTGAAATGCATACCGCAGGTCTTTTTTTGTTGGGACATGAGGAATGTGGGTTGACATGTAATAGAGGAGGACAGGATGTGAGCAGGTCCCATCCTGGAGGCCAGATACTGACTGAGGCTGTCTTTGGTCTCGTCCCTTATGAACATGAACTATATTCGAACCTGTTAAATCCTCAAGATGGGAAATCAGTGGAAAGGAGAGGAAGAAGGTGACTGAGAGGGCAGCCAATAAGATCTTCTGGTTAGAAATGGGAGCTGAATAAATGATCTAAAAAATGACAGGAGTTCAGAGCTAAGTCTTCTTAAACCAGAGAACTGGGATCCTGTTCTGTGAAGCACGTTTGGTTTTGGACTGTAGGTTGGACCAGACAAGCAGCCTGATAATGTCACCTTGGGCACTGGGAAACTATCGATAATTGTTATTTTTTCACCATGTTTTGGACCAACTATATATAAAATAATACTAATACATCAGTAGTTTATGCTTTAGGTGCTATGACCTTTTTTATTGTAACTTAAGGCACCAATTTTACAAATAACTTACACCTTACTACCCTATAGGCAACCTTTTTTATGAGCTCTTTGAGACCAAATAATCATACAAAAAAAGGATTGACTAATACCCTGTATTGTACAAGGAGTGTGTCATGTGTGTGTTAATCAGTCTGTCATGGATTATATTTAGATATTTCTAGATTTGACGGAGCAACGACATGACATGTCGTGTTGTGTTCATGGTCTGCTGGTGTAGGGAGTGTTTTACCTTTTACCATATTCTATTGTTATTCTAAGAAAGTAACAAACACTTTTCGTATGTATGTGTATTTTTTATACTAATGAGCTGTATCAGTCAGCAGCTAGCAGCACATTAATACATGAGGTCACCTTTTGCAGAACGGAGTATTTTATGATACAAAATGATATTAAATCATAGCTGGCTGCAAGTTGATATTATAAAATCAGTTTTATCAGAGCAGGGACAGAAATGGCATTCCCATCTGAGGGCCTCTGCAGGGAAGTGTGGTTCATAATGTTCTGCCTTCCTCGCCGCCCACCTCCCCACATCTCCTCTGTGGCTCCCCCTGCGGAGCTGAGATATCCTGCAGAGAGGCCGAGCAGCTTTGCTCATTCTCACCTCTGAAGGGAGCTGCCAGTGTAGCAGAGCTGGCACTCAGCCCTCCGCCAACACAAACATAACATTTGCATAAGTGCAGACAAATAGATGTTTCTGTTGTTTCAAAAGTGAGCACATCTAGATTGAACTGTGCA